TGGGCATTCCGGCACTAGGCACTCCAGCACTTGGGATTCCTGGAACTGCAGGATTACCTGGCACAGGCATCTTTAACCCCTTTTTTCCTTGGGCAGGGGGATTTTTCTCAATCTCTCTCATATCTTCTAGAGTAACTACATGAACAAAAGCTTCTCGCCCATTAAGTTTTTTACGGTGCAAGCGTTCAGACTTACGTGCATCATCTTCATTTTTAAACTGAACCAATGCCTGTCCTAGACCTTGCCCATTGTTATCAACAAGAACATGGACAGCGTTTTCATCCACTGGGATTCCTTCTAGGAACTGAAGAACATCCATCTTGGTAATGCTGAATGGAATATTTGTTATGTGAGCACAGACTTTGGTAGAGCTGACATCCCCCTCCGGATTTAACATCATTTCTCTCTGGTCATAATTGAAGTTCTGGAGTCTTTTTCTAATCATATCTATCTTCTCTAGCATACCTTTCTTAGTAATTGGATGAACCTGAATAAAACGATTGCCCATGTATTGTTTATGACGACACAGAGCAGCCTTATAGTCAGCCTCATTCCTGAACTCCACAAAGCCTTCACCAGTTGCTTTCCCATTGGGTCCATACGCGATATAAATACTATCTTCCACAATATCCAACTTTTTAAAAAAATCAATGACATGTTTGTTTTCAGCTTCAAATGGTAGCCCTTTCAAGTAAACACAAAAACCAGCCTCATGTGGTGATCTTGACCTTGACCTTTTCTGCCCACTGGGCGATTTTGACCTGGGAAGTGTCTGAGGAGGGGGATGGGTTTGTCCAGAGGGTCCTATACTTTGCTTAAAAGTGATATGGCCTCCAGCAGCTACCCACTGTCTCTCTGTCGCAGGACTAACTTCCACATAACGTTGTATCATCAGCATCCTGTTTCGTTTCAAGGCTTCAAATGTATCTTGAGGGGAGAGAAACTTAACCAATCCATTCCCATTATTTCGACCTACATGATCTTTCAACAAATGCACTGCATCAACACGGAGCCCATGAAAAAAATCTCTGACATCATTTTCCATTGCAGAAAAGGGCATTCCATGCACACTGACATACAGATCATCAGGGTTGATGGGAAGTGGTTTCACACTGCTTTGAGAAGTCATCTGGATAGGGTTAACAGGATTCAATGGACCCAGAAACACAGGGTTCATGTTACTGTTCAGATTCATAGGTGCTCCAGAGCCATTCATTCCAGCAGGCAGAGGTGCCACAGGTGGTGGGTTTAAGGGCGGCATGCCCGACATAGGTGGCAGTGGAGTCAGGGGTGGCACAGAAGGGACTGGGGGAATTGGGGGCACTGGAGGCACAGGAGGCAAAGTAGGTACTGGAGGAGGAACTGGTATTGGGGGAATGGATGGCATTGGTGGCAAAGATGGCATCGCTGGAATTGGAGGAATTGGTGGTGGTGGGACTGTGTTCATTGGAGAGGCTGTACTCGAAATGGTTGAGCTAAACGTTGGGCTCCCAAATGAAGTCCCCATATTTGGAGGAGCCGTTCCTATGCTGGCTGTGGAAAATGTCTGTATGTTTTTGTTGCTTTCATGAACAGAAGTGGTGGCAGTAACTACACTGGGTGAAGGATTATTAAAGCTGGGTACTGTTGTAGGCAAGTTAACCCTGCCACTCATTCCTGAGCTAGGAGGTGGTCCTGATCTACTAGCATTTGCTGGTGGTATATCTAAGTTGGCAGTTTCAAAACGCCTACGACTCAGTTCAATCATATTCTGCATTTCCGTTTTACTACTCAACAACAGTGTTACTTTTGACCCTTTAATTGTACCACCTGTGCGCATCATACCAAGCCTTGCATCTTCATCAGTGGCAAAAACGATGAAAGCCTCACCCAGTTCACCCCCTACAATATGCACGCCCCCATCAGGAATGGTCAATCCAGAGAAGAAGTGGCGAATGTCCATGGTCCCCGCCACAATTGGGAGACCTTGCAAACGGATGACCACAGCCATGCTGCGCTGAAACCACACACACCTGCAGATGAGAAAAGGCAACGGCCAGGTCAGACTCCTGTTTATCACACCAAGTTTTTAGCTACAAGAATGACCAGCTACCACATTGGGCCCTCAAATAATCCCTCAAACTATCACAAGCAATATCGTTTTTTAAAATTTGAATATTCTAAAAACTGAGTATCATGTACCATTTACAATGTAAAACCTAGACAATTGCAACTTCCAAAAGGAATTAATTCTGGAAACAATTAGAAGTTCAGCCCCAAAACTCAAAATTTCAGGAAAAAAACCACCACAGGACAGTAAATCACCAATTACATCATTCAGACCATGATTAAATAAGACTTAAGATTTAAAAGATATGTGTAAGTCAAATCAGGAAACAAATTCAATAATCTATAGGGGGAAAATATCCAAAGGATCCATCAAAATTAATATTTAAAACTGGCATAGCATCTTCCTTATAAACCTGACAACTTCATAGAATTATCACTTTATGTAGCTCAATCTAAAATCCAACAAACACAGAAAACTAATTAATTAAAAATAATACTCAACACTAAAGTAGTTTCAAATCTCAAATGAGAACTCCATTTTTCACCCCTACAACTCTTCAATCTTCCTTGCAGCTTTATTTATTAAAGAAAGCGAAGTATAAAATTATTTATTACAAACAAGGCTAATACATGCTAAGAATCCTAAAGAAATACTGAGTAAAATAGCCAAAATCTTAGTTATCTATATTCACTTCAAAAAGTAGAACCCGGTTATAGTACCATTCATCATGGCTGTTTTAATTAAAATTCAGGTCCAATGACTCATTCCCAAGCCTTCCGTTAAAAAAATGTTTTGTTTTTCCCATAGGGAAGAGCTGATATTGGAAAAGAGGTATTTTTTTGTTTTAAAACAACTAGGACAGCGGTTCTCAACCTGTGGGTCGCGACCCCTTTGGCGGTCGAATGACCCGTTTCACAGGGGTCGCCTAGGACCATCCTGCATATCAGATATTTACATTATGATTCTTAACAGTAGCAACATTACAGTTATGAAGTAGCAATGAAAATAATTTTATGGTTGGGTCACAACATGAGGAGCTGTATTTAAAGGGCCAGAAGGTTGAGAACCACTGAACCAGGGTATGAATTTTAGTTTAGTCAGCGATTGCGTAGTCTCTGGCCCAACATAACTCCTGTGAAATTTCTGGGTTCTCACTGATGTCCTTAGATAATGTCTAATAAAACAAAGTTTGATATAATCCTCACCCTGCTGGGTATGGCTCAACTGGTTGGGCATTGACCCATACACCAAAAGGTTTCCTGTTTGATTCCCAGTCAGGGCACATGCCAGGTTTCGGGCTCCATACCCCAGTAGGGGGCGGGGCATGCAGGAGGCAGATGATGGATGTTTCTCTCTCACTTATTCTCTCTCTAAAAATCAATTTGAAGTATTTTTTCAAAAACTTTCTCCTAGATCAGGGGTGGGCAAACTTTTTGACTCGAGGGCCACAATGGGTTCTTAAACTGGACCGGAGGGCCGGAACAAAAGCATGGATGGAGTGTGTTTGTGTGAACTAATATAAATTCATTTTTTTTTTTTTTTAGTTTTATTCATTTCAAACGGGCCGGATCCGGCCGCGGGTCATAGTTTGCCCATGGCTGTCATGGATTCAAGTAAAATTTCAGTGCAGGAGGCAGATGATGGATGTTTCTCTCTCACTTATTCTCTCTCTAAAAATCAATTTGAAGTATTTTTTCAAAAACTTCGGTCAAGGGCATGTGCCTTGGTTGCGGGCATGTCCCTAGTGGGGGGTGTGCAGGAGGCAGCTGATTGATGTTTTTCTCTCAGCGGTGTTTCTAGCTCTCTATTCCTCTCCCTTCCTCTCTGTAAAAAATCAATAAAATATATATTTTAAAAAAAATTTCAGTATTTCAGTTCTTATGGCTTATAAGAGTAAATGCCAATGGCAGGTCTTTGTAAAGCAACACAAAACAAATTATTGGCACTGAGAAAATATTAATTTGAACTTTATGTCCTCAACAACACAGGGTGTTACCCAAGCCATCTTAAAAATCAACTTTTTTTTTTTAATATATTTTATTGATTTTTCACAGAGAGGAAGGGAGAGAGATAGAGAGTCAGAAACATCGATGAGAGAGAAACATCGATCAGCCGCCTCTGCACATCTCCCACTGGGGATGTGCCCGCAACCCAGGTACATGCCCTTGACCGGAATCGAACCTGGGACCTTTCAGTCCGCAGGCCGACGCTCCATCCACTGAGCCAAACCGGTTTCGGCAAAAATCAACTTTTAAATATAAAGCTGACTCAGTAGATAGAGGGTTGGCCTGTGGACCAAAGAGTCCCGGACTTGATTCTGGTCAAAAGCATGTACCATGGTTGCGGGCTCCTCCCCAGCCCAGGCCCTGGTTGGGGCATGTATAAGAGGCAACCAGTCGATGTGTTTCTCCCACATCAATGTTTCTGTCTTCTCTTCTCCTCTCTATCCCACTCTCTCTAAAAAGATCAATGGAAAAATATCCTCGGGTGAGGATAAACAACAACAAAAAATATATATACATATACATATATATATACACATATATGTTCTGTGACCTCAGGGAAATCATAAAGTATTTGAGTTTTGGTTGTGTCTTCTCAAATGAGAGCATTAGAAGAGCAAAGTTTCCTGTTGCAAACTCTAAAAACTCTACAATTCGCCCTAGCTGGTTTGGCTCAGTGGATAAATCATTGGCCTGTGGACTGAAGGGTCCTGGATTTGATTCCAGTCAAGGGCATGTGCCCAGGTTGCAGACTGCCCCAGTGTGGGGCATGCAGTGCAGGAGGCAGCCAATCAATGATTATCTCTCACCATTGATGTTTCTATCTCTCTCCCCTCTCCCTTCCTCTCTGAAATCAATAAAAATATATTTAAAAATAGATAAATAACTCGACAACTCTATGAAAGCAGCTTTTCAATGTTAAATATTATATGAATATTAATTCAATGCAAAAAAATCTGTAATTATAGCTCATTATGACTGCTGTACAGAAAGGAGAAATATTTCCTCCTTCTCATCCTTCACTACCACCATCATTATCAACATCACCACCATCATCACCACCACCACCATCACCATCACCACCATCACTACCATCACAACCACCTCCACCACCATTACCACCACCTCCACCATCATCACCACCTTCAAATTTAATCCTGAAAGGTGGATTAGCAAACAGAAAATCCTCTTGTGAGACCATTATAAAACACGAAAAACTGGCGGAGTGGGGAAGTTTTTATAACTGGTTTTCAAGAGTCGACAAGAAATATACTAAAAAACAATCACACCAACAGACTCTTTTTTCCTTATTTACTACTTAGCTCTCTCTATCAGGAAGTTCATTAAGAAGCTTCCAAGTCATTACATTCCTGACTCTACAATATTGGCTATATGCAAGCAAAACTGACAGCATTCC